GATGTTGCCAACGGCTTTTGAGCAGGAACTTTCAGCAGGTGGTTTGTCCTCCAATGCCAACATATTCCTTTTCTGCACGCCCTTCAAATCTTTCAAGAGCCACGTGTCGAGAACATCTTGCGCTTGACGAGACCACTGGCCAGAAATGCCAGGAGCTAAATTCAAGCTTCTTTGGACATAGTGAATATGCGCTTGAATCTGTCTCGGTGTTCGTTGTTGTTTTGACTCACACGCTGCTTTGCGGCCACTGACGATGTCCTGGTGGAGTTCATGTGCGTTGGGCACAGGCACTGACGGCTCAGCATCAGTAGTTGGGTCTGGGCGGTAGATGACAGGGTCCACCGTCTGCAGATCCAACGAAAACCGCCCAGGTTCTACTTCAGAACCCATAGCCACAAACATCACCTTCTTGGGCGCCATGATGACACTGATACAGACTTGAGCTGGAGCCAATCACTATCAAGGTAACTTCATCGATGAAGAAGTGGTGTGTTTATAAACAGTAGTCAGTGTTTATAAACATGCAAACTGCCAAAGTAAACAAGAGTAATCAAATACAGATACCACCTGCAAAAAGCTATATGCTTGTTGTCAAATGACATTGAAGTAATCATGCAAGCAAACACATACAGAAACCACTACAAGAACATACCTTGCAGATGCAGACGCTAAAGACATGACATTTTTTGCGTAAAGCTACTGCAGCAGATTGCATTGCAATCTATACCCATACCGTTGGTCAGACAGAGTACACAGATGAACGCTAAGGTGAACATAGGCAAGACTAAGCAGGAGCCTCAAAACCACCACCGAATCCAAATACATCTTCTTCTTCTTCGCCCATAGGGTCTGGCGCTGCCACAGGGGCAATGTCGATGGCATCGGTCTCCATGTTGTTGTTCTCTTCACCTTCAACGTCAATGACACCAAAGGCTGTTCGTGCACGCTTTGTCGCTGGTGAGATGATTTCTTCCTTCAAAGCAATTGGCGAAGGACGAGGAGATGCAGGAGCCTCTGGCTCAACAGGAGCTGCTTCCCTTCTCCATTGGTCATGCTTCTCAGCTCTTTCCATATATGCTTTTTCCTCTGGCGTTGCCAACAGCTTTGCAACAAGGGCAGCCTCTTCGTCCAGCTGACTGTCGTAGTTGGCATACTTCTGATGCACTCCCTGCTTGTAAGAGCCATACGAAGATTTGTTTTTGTCGCAGAGCCAATCCTCTGTGATCCCATCACCAGAGAAGCGGTAAATAGTCTCTGACTCATTTTGGCTTGGCAAACGCAAGTACACCGCCCTGCGACCAGCAATGATGACAGCAGCACGCTTCAAAATAGCCATCATGTGAGGATGCTTGGCATACTGGATGGCGACAGCAAACATGCCCTGGAACTGCTCCCAGGTGATGGTATCACCCAAAGAAAGATCTGGCTCTTTGGTTTCATCCCATTCGTTGTTCAGGATCACCCGGCATTGGTTGCGTACAAATTTGGCAGGCTTGTAGCGGGCATCTACTAAGCAAGTCTCACCAACGTCTAAGAAAGACTTGATGTCTTCAAAGTTGATAGCACTGAGGTTTGGGTCATCCAGCAAGACAGGCACATTGACCTCACCCGGCCGCTCGCGAAACCCGTCAATTTGCTTTGATCGCCGCCAGCCAGCCATGCCAGAAAGACCACGAACAGAAATAAGATGACGAGCTACTGCCAAGGTCATAATTTGTGCAGTTGGAGTTTTGCCAATGCCGGCTCGCCCAAGGACCATCAAGCCAAAGTTGGGAAGATAAGGAAGCACCAGGGGCACCACAGATTTCAGAAACTTGGGGTTCAGGTCAAAGAGCAGCAAAGGAAAGAACCATTCCGGTTCAGACTGGCAGTTGCCAGATGACCGGTTTGCGCATGCTTTCTGGACTACTGCAGATGGCCAACCGTAGAGCGGCGATGCCTCATCACGAATGTTCAGCAATACCCAAAGATATTGCTCATTGTGAGCGTTGGCCAGAGGAGCATGTTCATTGATGTAGGCTATTCCACAGCGAAGCTCTTCTTCATCTGGATTCCAAGTCTTGTTGTCTCCATCCTTGGAAGTATGCCGTTGAATCTGTGGCTTGTCCACTACTTCTTGTGTTAGCCACTGGTCTCCTGGAATCTTGCTCAACATCTTCATGAAGCCCTTCTTGACGACATCAGAATTAGAGCAAATCTTGTAGTCGATGGTGAGGACGTTATTGTTGCAAAGAGTTTTGGCCAAGCCCATTGGAATTGACACCGTAGAGTGGTAGAACTTGAGGACTGTCCAGGAAGCATGAGCAGATTTTTCCAAAACTAATTGAAGTACACAAGAGTCACCAAGAGCATCACGTGGACGGACAGATGCAGGTAGATGAGCATATTTTGGTGATGCCTCACTCATCACTGAACGAATAGCAGCCACATCCACATCAGACACATTGCGGATGACCTGAAAGAACTCCTTGAAGGACTTTTTGGATTTGGGCTCCACTTTGATCAGAGGTAGTTGATCAATGGACACTGTGCCATCCGAAACTTATGTGTGCTTGTGTGTTTGCATGTACTTCATATATGCGTTGTTACCTTCCATCATGGCAGCTTCCATGGCACAAGATTGGAGGTAAGAAGCAGTTGCTGACAAACTAGTTCGAGCAAATATACTGAAGAAACCAATGTTTATAAACAACCATTTTGTTTATAAACAACTCCTTTCTTCAGCTGGGGGAGGGGGGGGCTGAGAGCTCTTAAGCCTCCAAGGGGGAGGGGGGGGGG